ATTATCTAATATTAATAATATAAGTTTTTTTTTTAAAATATGAAATAAACTTTTCCTGACAAGACAATGGAAAAGCTTGTATAATATAAGAAAAAATAAATGAAAAAAAAAATTGTAAGAACCGGTACATCATATCATTCATGCTCTCTTCAATTAAATTACACTAGTTCAATCAAATAAAATCTTATATATTGTTATTTTTAATGATTTTATCTTTGAAATAAAGTATTTGATCTCTTTAGTTTCTTCTCTTTTTTCTTTCTATCATCATCAATGATACAAGTAATTTATATTTACTGCTATTTTTTTGCTAGCAAATTTGCAACCATTTGACATGTTATGTTTTTATTTAATAGAACATGCATGACATGTTACACTTGATTTATACAAAAATTTCTTAACAAGATTTAGGGCCTGTTTGGATGTCTTCTAGATCAATTATGGGGTCTTAAAATAATAGTTTTGGAAAAATTCATCCAAACGTCTCAATTTTTTTAAATTTCATTTAGTTTCTAAGACTCTATTTTGTAGAAATTAATTTGTTCCACATTTAGTAAATCAATTTTGCAAAATTAATTTTTAAAAAAATTATTCAAACATCATCATATTTTGTTAATCCAATTGTTTTTGTCAATATCCTATTAAAATCCAAAGAATGTCTTTGTAATGTGTTTTTTTCATCATTTTAATTAATTATAAAATGTGAAATGAATTTAGCTTACCAAACAACGATAAAGTAAGTGCGCAAGCTTGCAAGGAATTCTACTCTTCCACTTTCTCTCTGGACTCCACTTTACACACAGACTAACTTTTTGGGGCCCACCACTGACAACTGACTTAGGAAGAGAAAAGGAGAGAGAAAGTGAGGAATTTCAGAAATTTCCATTTTTGGAAAAAAATTTCACAAAAGCTGAAGGCCTGAAGCTATCATTGTTTCTCTTTTTTCTTAAAAGAAAAAAAAAAAAAAACTCCTCTCTGGACTTTTCCTTCGATTCTAACTTTAGTCTGTATTTAATTTTTAGTTTGTTAAAATTTTATTTAATAAAAATTCATATAATAAAAATTAATTATTATAATAAAATTTACATTTGAATATATTTTTTTAAAATTCAATTGATATACTGAAAGTTATTTAATTTATGATAGTAAAATGTGTTTTTAAATGTACAATTATTAAAAAGAACATTAATTTATAATAATTTATAATTTTTATTATACAAATGTAATATATTAAAATATTTAAAAAATATGATAAATATTTTAAATAACATAAATTTTAATCTATAATATTAAAAATTTGATTTCTAATTATTTGTATTTTTTAATTTATAATTTTAGAAAATGTGATAAAGATTTCTACTTTTTATTATACATTAACACTAAAAATTAACATAATTAATTATTTAATTTATAATACTAAAAACTTAATACCTAATTATTCTTATTGAAATAATAATTATATTTTTAATAAATTAATTATTTTTTAAATAAAAAAATAAGGGATTAAACTTGAGGTAGTATGGTTAAATAAAATCCTACTTTTCATATCTACTTTTCAAAAGTTTTAAATAGTTACGTTTCAAAAATTTATTTTCAGTTACTGTTTGATTGTATTTTCAGGATGTGCTTTCCTGTAAAATATTTTACCCAAACAACTTTTAACTTTCTAAAAGTAAAATTTTATTTTTTGAATATGAAAAGTAAGAAAACCAAACGAACCCTTAGTTGTCTCTTCTAGTTAGCATGGGAAAACAATTTTGGTATCCCTCAAGTCTCAATAATTGAAATATACAATAATTTTATATTTCTATTATCATTATTATTCATCCAAAAAAGGATTCCATACTTTTTTTTTTATGTTGTTTGTCTGTCCCATTATATTCCCTTCATTTAAATTATAAGATATACTCCACATAATGATTCCAAAAAAGGAGTATTTTTAGTGATACCATATAGTGCTGGGAAAATTACAATTAGGTCCTAAATAAAAACTTAATTATATTTTATTTTCACTTATTAATATGATTAAATAATTTATATGAATATTTATATTATATTTTTAATAAAATATTATTTTTTACTAGTAAATATTATTTTTTTAGGAAAATGAACTTAAAATAAATAAATTTTCTTATAAACATTGTAACCAATTTTTAAATTTTATTCTATTTTTAAATAAAAATTATTAAGTATATAATTTGTTTATAAATATGTATTAAGTTTATGTTAAATATCTTTTACTTTTATCTTCTTCATATTTTTCTCAAACATTAATAAATTAAATGATTAAATTTTTATCTTCTCCCAAAATGGTTAAATGTTTCCCCTTCTTTTATTAAAAATATATTTTATCTACAATTTTTCAATATCTTAAGAAAGTATTTTAATGAAAAATTAATTTTAACCACATCAATTTAGTCATTTTGAATAATTTTAATTTTTTTAATAAATAATAATAATTTTTATGATACAAGATAATTACAAAGATTTCATATAGTAATCAAGCTAATCTTTAATCATTCTCTACCTCATAGTAAGGTGGATTTGAATAATTTTTTATATTCTTCTTAGTAATAATTAGTTGTAAAAATCTAATTAAATAACTTTTTTATAACAATGGAAACCAAAACACACTAGGTAAAATCACATAAAATGCTTATTCAAAAGCTATTAGAGCTCGACAAAAAAAGTAAACACTATGTGTATACTAAGCTAAGCATCAAATACGCAATATGTCAAGTAGTTTACAAAGTCATTTGCATCTCATGACATCTGTACAACTTTAACGTTTCAATATCATTTATTTAATTGTATGTAAGTAATAATTTATGTATAACTTAACTTGATTATAATTGAAAATAATAACCTATCAAGATTTTAATTAATTTATCATATTAAAATAATAACTTAATAACATAATTTTTTTTAAAAAAAATATGAGCTACATATGTGTAAAAAAAGATTATGAATCATACAAATTAAAAAATAATTTAATAATTAAACTTAACACATTTTCATTATTATTCTTTTTGTTTCATAATCCTATATATCATTACTTCTAATTCTGTATATAAGATAAAAAATTTAGTTTCATAAATATCTTTTTAAAATAATTCATAAGAAATTTTTTTAATAATTTAAATTATAATTTTATAAATTATTTCATATAATTTAAAATTATATTTAATTTTTAAAAAATATTTTTATTGGAGACAAATGTTATCACCAAAAGTAATTATACAAATTATTTTTTATAAAAATATTTTTGGTGATGACAAATAAAGTTAGTTTTGGTGACAACTATTAAAATTCATTGCCAAAATATTTTTTTGGCCATCATTTTTTTGTAGCGTATGTAGCTTTTATATGAACAAATAAAATTAAAGCCTAACTAAAAATTGCACATTAATTAATTGGTGTCATGAATATAAGCTTAAAGAAAGAGCCCATTTAAAAAGACTAGTTTATTAAGTTGAAAAATCCTATATATTTATAAATTTCACTCCATCTGTGATGTGCCCTAAATGTGGACTTGAAACAATGACACCTCATTTTAGAGCCAAAATCTCATGCGACTTTACTCCATAGTATTTTACTTAGCTTCTTACAAGTTAGAACTTTCAATGGATAGTCCTCTTTGTGACACCAATCAACCTCTCAATGAAAGTATCAACATTACAAATTAATCTTTTAGAATATGCTCTTTCTTTTAAAGCTTGTGCTCATATAGATTTGATATTTTCATTGATAGATTGGTGTCACGAAAAAGACTATATGCAGAAAGTTCTAATTAGCAAGATATTAGAAGTGTAGTGAAGTTCCTAATGGCTTTGAAACAATGTGATATTGTTCTGAGTTTCACACTGAAGAGCCTCACCGGTGGAGTAAAATTTATAAGTTGGACTAGCTCTCTTATTCAAAAGGGCTCCATCCAGTACAAGCCTCTTAATCATCAATACTGCAATGGATGAATCGAAGTTTTTTTTTTTTTTTTGTAACTATATATACAATCTTTTCTTCATTCTTATTAGCATCCCGATCGTTCCCATTCCCCACTATTCAACCTTAAAGTATAACACAGGTATGTATAGACAGATATAACGCAGATAAAATATAATTGGATCATAGTTAATTTTTATATGACCGTATGTATATTAATTGTTAACCAGTAGATGATCCCTATATTGAGAAATTGTTGAAAAAAAATATAATCATAAGATCTTAAATTGTAAAGGGAAAAAAAGAGTTCACTTTTACGGCTTGTGAGTGTGTACACTAGACTTTTGCAGCAATAAATTACGACTAAAAAACAGAAAAACGAAATAATTGATATATTGCAAATTATGCAAAAAAAAAACAAGAAGAAAAGAAGAAGTCATTTTTTCTTGATTACAAAAAAAAAATTAAATTCCTTTTTGCTGTATATATAAACAAAAATCAAACACTTTATGCACAAACACAAGCATACCTATTACTTACTGACATGATTTCGTGTTCCGTTTTTGTTTTTGGAGTTCCATGGAACTGGTTTTAAATCTTAACAAAGAATTGAATGAAAACGGAAAATTAAGAGTGAGAAAGAAGAAGGAAAAACAAAAAGACAAGGAGAGAAGAAAAGGTTTGGTTCAGTGCAAAATGGGAGGAATGAATTAGGTTCAATTAAATCCAGAATCTGGTTTTGCAGTTTCTGCACACCGGAAGACGCGCTTGTGTTAATTAGCAGAGTCTAGTATTTCAGCAAGAAAGCTAATCCCTGCGTAACAAAACCCAGAATTCTATATGCAGAATCAATCCATTGTAAACGTATAAAAGCTGATAAAGATATTATTATCAGCTGCCAAAACAGGCGTCAATTAGTTCTAGTAGGAAGAAATATGACTGTTTAAACATGAGTTCTGAAGTTTTGAGTACGTGTTAATGTAGACTAGTGTCTTTGAGAGAGCTACCCCCAATTAAGTCAGATAATGGTCGAATATCATTATCAGCTTCAAGTTTGGCTTAATAACTTCGTGATCGCTTTTCTCACCCCCTTGAGGGCTTTCTCCTCACATCATGACACTCTTTCTCACAACTGATTAAAATTCGAAGCCACTCAAACCATAATCCCCTAAGTTTCAGTCTCTCCAAACAACACACAAACACATGTACATAGACTGTCACCTTGTCGTCGGTTCAGCAGCAAGCGTGTATTTAAGTAATTATACACATCCACAGATGACCAAGCTTTCACATTTAGATATATTGATTATTAACTAAATTTCCTCGTGATCACGTCACGGCTTATTTGAGTATTTCTCAAGGGAAAAAGGCATGCAGGCCAAACAAACTTTTCGGCCAACTTTCAAATTAAAACCCAACACCACATCATTCCCAATATTCTATACACACACATGGCTGAATAATACGTAACCCAAGCCATTAAGCCAACCGTTATGATTATGCTCATATTCTACACCACCTTCAGTCAACAATATCCAAACAAGATCTCTCTCTCTCTCTCTCTCTCTCTCTCTCTCAAACAACAGTATCATTAATTACTTGCTCGATCTTTTATTTTCTTCCCTGACATACTTATACAGTAATCAACATAGTACTCTAGCTGGTCATTCACTAATTACCTCATGGTTAAACCCGGAGGAGCTATCACCGGCGTTGAACACCGTTCCGGTGGCGGCGGTGTGGGGCGTGTTTGGTGTGTAAGGCCAATCGGCGAGAGAGGTGTTGTTACCGGTGGTGATCGTGCAGTGTTGGTGTGGTGGAGATTGGAGCAACCTGATTTGTCTCTTCAAGAATTTGACGTAGCGAATGGCTTCGTCGAGCATGGAGGCGGTGTCGAGCTTGATTCCTCCGGGGACGAGTCTCTGCAGGATTCGGATTTTCTCGCTGATCCTCTCACGGCGGTGTCGGGCTGCGACACTCTGTGGGTCGTCACTGATCCGGACGTTCCGCCGCTTAGGTTTCCGGATGGTGGAGGGATCGATCTCGACTGGCTGCAAAGCGGCGATCTTGTACATCATCTCCTTCATGGCTCCAAGCTCTTCTTCCTCCTCCTCCTCCTCCTCTCCTTCTCTCCTTCTCTTCCCAAGTTGATGCCAAACATGTCACTGATGAGAAAACCAGAAGATGAAAAGGTAGATATTGGGGTTTGAAGAGGAAGCCAAGCAGAACCCATATGCTCAAGATTCATATTCCAAGTTGGATGATTATTACTAATGTTAACACTACTGTTGGTGAAGGAGGGATGAGTATTCTGGTTGGTATTCATTTTTGTGGGGCAGATTCTGAATTATATTGAAAAAGTAACAAAACCAGATCTGTGTGTGTGTGTAAGTAGATATATAGATCGGATATTGAAGGAGGTGATCTTTTTCTGGGCTGCTGAAACAAACTGTGTGTGATGGTTGAGAAGAGTTATGGTATGGAGGGAGGGCTTTTTAGCGCAAACGGGATAGAGATGAATCAATAAAAAGAAAAGGGGGTCATGAATGCGGTTCCGCAACAATCAAAAAAGAAAAATAAATGATAAATAACAAATTAAGAATGAGTTAAATTGATCATAAAGGGAAAAGGAAAAAGTAGTCTAGCTAGGGTATAAGAACCAATTGGACCATGGGAAGATTATCAGCTAGTTTCTGTGTAAACGGCATCCACTTATTCATACATTAAAATAAAGGCAATAAAGAGATCCATTGGTAAAATATATTTTTTTAAAATTCAATTACTCAGTATCCTACAAAATTTGAAAGTACTACTACTAACCACTCAGACTTATGAACTCTTGCTGATAGAAAACATTATTATCAATAGCAGTCTCAGGGTATATCAAAGATGTTTTTGGCATTTTTATTTAATACCTCACATGACTTGTATCCAAGTTCAAAAGATAAGTTGATTCAACAACACCTTTTAGCCAGTGACAGTTACAAACTAACTTGCTATACATATATGATAAGGTTCATATTTCAATAAATTATGAATGCATTATGAATACTTTTCTGGTTCTAAATGTAGGTGCTAGTTGATGAGTTTGCTTTGGTCCTAAATATAAGACATCAATTTGCTCTCTTTAATTCTATTTATAAGTCACTTCTAGCATATTTGTCAAAATTTATGAAAACCTTAAATCTTATTAATTCTCCAACTTTACCCCCATTGAATATATGCATATTTTAAAAATAAAATTCTTTAGGATAAAGATGAACATAATCATTGAAATATTTTATAAATAAGAACAAAATGAATACTCTCTGTCCTATAAATAGGACAAGAGAAGCATTTTGTCTCACAAATTTATAATATATTTTCCAAATTCTTATCTTTATTGATTATTAAAGGGGAATTTCCATGAATAAATGGAATTTTCAATGTTAACAATTAAATGGAATGTTTTAAGAAAACCAACACACACATTTTTTAACAATAATTAACTTAACTAATATAGTTGAACACTGTAGGTTAGTTATCTATCTCAGACTTACATATTTATTTTTACTATGGTAACAAAATCTTGAACTGCGTACGGAGACACATTGTGATTCTATGTGCACTGAAATCTTAGGGCTGCTCCTTCTTTGATATTTATTTTATATGATCTTATAAGGATAGAGATCTCACTCTCTTTTGCATGACGCTTTTTTAAAGTATAATAATATTAAAATAACCCTTTGTCACTTACGTATGATTATCACTATTTTATATAAATTGCAAACCTTTTATAATGAAAAGAGCTATATATTAAAAATTTTTTTGCCTGACAAATTAACCCTTATTGTCTATCGTCCACATATTGTCGTGTCAATTAATATATGCCATGAATAAAAATATCGCCTTGGATTTCTTCTCGATAATTAAGAAAAGTTGTCTCCATCCTCCAGATGTTAGAAAACTTCATGGAACTACTAATTAGGTTGATATATGCATTACTCTTGAATATGCTTTTTTTTTGTTGGAACCAGAAATCAATATCTCTTCTATAATTAAATGCATAGAAAAATTTCTGTAAGATCCAACTAAATTTCTGTACTATGCATAACGATGTTATTCCACAAAAAAATCAGTTCATCATCAAGGGAAATTTAAAAAAAAATGTATATATAATATAACATAAAATATAGTAGAGTAAGTCACTTTGTTTACAATTATGCACTGTATGACTCATTTATCAAAATTTCATGAAGTACGTAAGCATATAATATATTTATCTTGTATAAATTCAATATTATATATAGGTGTTGTATTTTTTTGTGCAAAGTATTTGATTTTTATGGAAAATGAATTTGATAGGGGATAAAATCATATATATGAAATATTGTAAACCTTTATGGGTAAGAAAAGAAATGTAGATTAATCTCTTTCTAATAAATGTATAAACTCTAACAAATCATACTTTTAAATGAATTATACCACTCATTTTTCAAATTTGGCTCGAATTAGATACATACTAGTACTATATTAATAATGAAAACTACAATGTGAATGTTTGATAATGAAAGACATGATTGTCCTTAATATTCAATGCCCTTTGTTTTTGATTAATAAGCCGACTATAGGGTTTTAGCATCAGTATGTTTCGTAAAATTAGAGATATAAATTATCTATATCTACTGACAAATCACAAACCTCCTATCAATCAATATGAACCCTCTTGATCCCTTTTCATACGGGCCGTAGAATTTAGGGGAATC